GCAATCCATCTGAGGCCCAGACGGGTCCACCCCTCTGTAGGAAGGCGACGGAGGTCTCCGTTGTAGATGTGTCAGAGAAGCTTGGGTCAACTTCTCTGCCTGTGCGAATGCATCAGTTCTTCTGCCTGATTCGCCCCCCCACCTTGCAAAGCTCCGCGGGGTATAGATCCTGCCCGTCGGCGATGTTGGGCCAGGCCTGCAATGTAGTGATGTGTGTCATTGCCCAACTACAAACATCTACTGCATGTTTTGCCCCGGACCTCCTCGTCCTCCATGTCACTGGGAATGCAGGTTCCCGGGACCTCACGCGACAGAAGTTTTCAAGGGGCAAATGCCACGAAAGCATGCTTGCTTAGGCGGTCGGAATGGAGGTCGGAATCCGTTTCGAAGCGACGCTTTCCTCAATTTGTCGATGCTGTCGGCATCGAAATATGCTTTGGCCTGCTCAGGAAACCGGCCGAGCGCCTTGAGCGCAACCGCTTCGGTGAACTTGCCGTAGTGTTGACGCAGCTTGCTCCGACCACAGGCCGTGCCGACCACTTGCTGCATGCTGCGGGCAGCACCAGGAGCAGCGATCGTTGCCTGGCTTGGGTGATGCATTCTTGCCGCCCGGATCAAAGACGCACTTCTCTCCTTCCACAGTCCCTTTACACTTTCGGCCCATGGCGACAGGAACAAGGAAGCTGAAGCTGAAGCTATCTGTCCCTTTTTTCTATATCCTTCCTTCTGAAAGGGTTCTGTTTGAGGTCCTTGCGGTCCAACCTCAGACGACGTCCAACCTATAAGCCAGGCAGCACCAAACGCAGCAAACCCCCTGCCTGCTCGCACTTCGGCAGTGGCACGAGCCGAAGCAGAGATGAAGATGCCGCAATGAAACTACCCTGATGGAATTGCCACGTGTTACAACCCCTGCTGGCCTCAATTCGATAGCGGCCGCATGCCTCTGATCCTGAATGCCAGCCATATGCCAGAAACCGATTCAACAGCACCATTGCAACAAATAAAACAGAAGTAACTTCACTGCCAGCTTCTCGCCCCATTGTACTCGGCGGCTTGCGTCGCACGGCCATTGTGAGAACTGACTGGAAACTACATGTGAAGGTTCAAAATGAAAATGAAGCTATGTTTTGGGGCGCGCGATTGACGACGCCAATGCAGAGGATGCGGATGCTGCCGATTTTGCTGCCAGTGGCGACATGCCGACGGAGTCCCCGACAAGGATTGAGCCACGGCCAAACTGCTAAGCAGCTAGGGAGAAGGGGGAGTAGTTAAGTATGAAGTTTCATGTGATGGGAGATTCCAGCCCCCCCCCCAATACCTTAGCAAAAGCTAGCTTTCATGAAGATGGCGTGAATTTCATCCATAAAGTCCCTATTTTGGAGGGTTTCAGCCCAGTTTCAGCCCATCTTCGTTCCTTTTGGCAGTTCCACCACAACCCAAAGCCCCCAACCAGGGCACATTGGGCGCATGCTCCACCTCTTGCACGAAAACCTCCTCCTCTCCGGCGCAGCGAATGCAGCCTGACCAAGGTGGTTTATAGCATGTTAATGTTGATAAAGCCATGGTAAACTACCCCAATTTTACCATAAATGGGCACACGATACACCATCAAAATATGGGTGCTTTATGACATTTGCCAGCATGTTATATGATTTTTTGAACAGACTATTAGATGGGTTTATGACAGATATGATCTGAATATGATATACCTGGAGAAAAAATCTGAATTTAGAAACCAAGTTGGATCCAGTCATGCGGCAAAAATGTCTGGCTTCACCTGCAAATAAGATGGGTTGAACCCCTAGTCACAGTGGCAACCAACGACCTGTTCCAAAAAAAAAAACGGCGAAGCTGTGCCCAAATTTCTTGTGCTGTTTTGTGTAGGATCAAACTAGTCGAAAACTCCAAACCTGCCACTAGATTACAAGCCCCCAAAAAAAATGATTGCCTACCCGACTATCATGGTGATTTTCACACAGTTTTACTTGGGTCCCACGGCTTACTGGGCAAGACATTTCCAAGTCCTGGGTGCACCGACCACCAGGGCCGCCCCCAACCCATCCACCGAGGCACCGATGCGCAATTTGTTCAAGGCGTTGCTTCCCCCCGAGTCCATCTTCTGCGGCTCATCAATGGCTGTCACCGCATCGATGCCTTCCTGGCCGAGATGGGGATGACTGAGATGACTGGGTTCCCCATGGAAACTGGTTCATAAATGGTCCAAGATACCAAAAATTGGATCAACTCAAGTGGGGACTTGATGGGACATAATGGAATAACTCGATAATGTTTGGGTTCGTTAAGCGGTTCGTTAAGCGCAAACCTTAAGCACCAACAACCACTATATAAGTCACCAATGAGGGCGAATCTTACAGTAATCATCTATTATTGGCGGTTCCTTTTGGCAGGGTTGGTTGAATCCCCAAGATACTTAGCTCCCAACACATCCTACTAAGAGACGTCAAAAAATGGCTGTGGGGCATCACACAGATTCCACTTGACTAGTCTCACAGAGACTCTATGTTGTATATACTGCAGAAACTATCAAAAATCCTAAATCGTTCACAACCCGTCACGACCCATTCCTGTGTTACGAAATTGGTGGTTTCTCCATCTTAAGGATTTGTTGATCAACTGATTCTGAAACACTGAAATCATGCAACAGCAACCACGGACAATGAAGATGTGCAACCCATTTCACTGCCCATGATCTCGTTCCAAAAAGTCACAATGAATCCAAAAAAGAAGGTTGAGGCTAGGCCATGACTGCCATCAAAATTTTATCCAGAGAACCTCAAAAATCAAACATCCTGGTTTCTGCCATGCAAATCATCCCGGAATTGGATGATGGGAAGATTTACAGGAAAACCCTGCCGTTGCAAATAAAATTCATCGTTTCCTATAGATTTTCCCAACAACACCAATCCAGTCACATTAAAATCCATATAATCCAAGAAAAAGCGCATTCATAGCATCATGGTTTTGTGGGTGAAATCCCAAGTTTCTTCGGCCGAAATCGGCCATTGCTGGTTTCCCGTATCACAAGGACCACAGCCTGCAGGGCAGACTGCCGGCTTTGCCGCAGATCTGCTTCGGGCTCCTCCTGAAAGATCTGTGTAGCGAAGGGGGAGACTGCACCAACAACCATGGCAAGTTAGGTAGCAGAGATGGTGATGTTAGCCTCTGTGTGAGTTACCAGCAAACGTTGCGATTCAACCCGCAAAAACTTGGATTTATGCAACAAAGAATGGGGATATCATGAAGATATATTGTAGTTAAGCAACAAGGTCAAAGGAACCACTTAAGCCTAGGTATATAACTAGAGATTTGTGTATAGCGACCCCAGAATAGGTAGAGAAGTTTGAACCCTGGAAATTCATCGAAATATTCATATCATCCAAAACATCCTGGAAAAACTGTTCGGTCTTTTTGGGGACCCTATATTGGCCAAATAGATGGTGATGCATTTTTGGTGCCCATGCATTTTCAGGGCTTCACCGGCTTCACCATTCAGATTCCTGGGGTGTTTTCCCTGGATCAAAAGCCAATGGACAGTTGCAGGATTGAACACGAGGCAATTTTAGAAGGCACGAAACATTGTGAGACATAGCCCAAAGTGGGATCAACTTGTATCATCCGGGTGTAAGTTGGGCCCTCCGACATCATTTCCCTGCAACATCAAGTGCTCTGATGGAAAACTTCCATCCCCTTTCGAAACCACCTCAGCAGCCGTAGAAGCATCCTCTTCCTCCTCAGCCGGTGATCGACAAGGCCGACCCCGTTTTTCCCCAAATCCGGGATGGTTTCCTTTCCTGAAAATCAGAAAAGATCGAACCTGCTGAGTCCTTTTTGGCCACATTGACACAAAAACATGACACCTCCAAACAAACCTCTCTGGTTCCCGTTTTCACCTTCATCTGGGAACGTAAAGGGCCAATTTGGGGAGCGCGACCCAGAACGGATTCTTTCAGATCTCTTTTTCTTGGTCCGCAGGTTGGCCAGAAAGAATCGAAGAATCATTTTCAGAATCCTCAAGCGCCATTGTAAACATGACCTATCATCCACTGAAAAAATGGGTACGAACCCCAGATTGATAAAACATGACTAAAAAAATCATTGGAAATTCCATGGATCAACCCCAATGTCTTCACCTTGATGGCGTCAATGAGACGTTCGCGCTCCATGGCCAGGCGCACCTGGTGTTCCCAATGTCTTTCACCAGCTATGGGGGGTCCCTGTGGGGTGTTGAATCCCCCAGAAGTTGAAATATGGGGATGGGTCAAAACCCTGGCACCTAGTGAACCCCAAAATAGCTGGTAAATGGATGTTCATCCCACTAAAAATGTATCTATAGGTATTGACCCATACCCATATGTGAATTATATCCCCCAAAGTATGGGCTCCTCAAAATGTATACATTCAAAAACCAGGAGTTCGTTTGGGTCTTCTTTTACTCTTAGCAGTCTTGGGGATGATTTGGCTGATTTCGAGCTTGGGTCAGTCCCGTGGACGGATGAAGAACATCTGTTTCAAATCACACCGTCTCATTGTCATCTACCTTGGTGACTTAGTGGAAAGGAATAAGCACAACTATAATTGACTATACCCTCTGGTAAACTAACATAGCTATGGAAAATCACCATTTTTAATGGGAAAACTCACAATAAATGGCCATGACCAATAGCTATGTTAGTTTACCAGATGGCAATTATTGTAATGTTGGTTTTCTCCGTAGAGAAACCCTCCGCGATGGGTCGTCCCTCTTTTTGGGAGAGGCCCAGAGTGGTTTGTTGAAATATATGCCGAGAGATTGTTCAGAATCTCCAATGAGTAGATATCCCTTCCCTTGGCTGCTTGATGAAATTTCCTTCTTTGGCATCCCGGTGCTATGCTACTTCCTGTTGGTGAAAAATGCACACACTTTGATTGGTGCAAGTTCATGCACTGGTTCAACAAGCATAGTCGTTGTTCAGTGTTTATCATCATACCCCAGTCTTAATTGCTCAACATTTTGTCCATGATATCCCCATACTATACTGAAACCCTTGAATCCTCATTGTTGTGTCAATCGCTTTGTGCTATGCTAACCCATTTTGGGGTTGAAGAACCCCTCTCCTTGTTCACATTCCTCATTGTTTCAGAGCTAAATCCTTACTGCATATTACTGATCAAATACAGACTTGACTGCTTGCATAAATCATACGTCTTTTTCGAGAATCCCAGTCTTTACTGTACCTCAAATCCCCATCCAGTCGTTGATCCAATAACATGTTTTCTCCTCAAAACTGACCCGGATCCCAAAAATGATCGTGAAAAAAAATACCAACCCCCGGTCAGTCCGCAACATCTGGCTGTAACATCTGAACAAAAAAAGAAAACTTCACAAAAAAAAAAACTCATATCCTGAATTTTAACCAAGAAATCCCAAAAAAAATCCTCCAGTTCTGGCCAAATCCCCGATTTTTCCATCGTTTCTTGCCCCCTTCCCTTCCCATCACCTCCTCAGGTTTCTCCTCGTGTTTCACCTTGGTCACAGACTGCATCAAGGCGGGGGCGATGGATTTCTGTAGCACCTCGGCCGGAGGTTTTCCCATGGGAAAACCCATGGGAAAAACATGGTTTTCCGGCCTGGTAAACATACAAAAAGCTATGGAAAATCACCATGATTAATCGGATTTAATGGGTAAATCCACTATTTCTATGGCAATTTTTAATAGCTATTGATAAATGTACCGGAGGGTACTATCAGTGGAGGGTCTAGAGCTGGGAATTCTCCACTGCTCTTTTTTGAGTACCAGAGGGTGGCCGCAGCAAGAAAGGAAATGATGGAAATGATGGAAATGTGGATGTGGCCAAAATCCGGCAAGACACCAGAATTGGGATCCGAATCAGGTCCGCAGAAATCAAATTGCAGAGCAACAGTTTGTGGAATTTGACCCAGAGGAACGGGGATAGATTTCACCGACATTGGAACATGTCATCAGTATTTGGGTACGGCGCGGCTCACCCTTGTTGTGATTCCTGAAACTTAACTTGGTTGGTTAAAGATCTGACTTTGGAGCCATACCGAATCCTGGCTTTCAAAGTGCCCAAGCTTTGCTGATAGCCACAAGGCTGTTTCTAAAGTATCTAAACTATGTGGCCTTGTCTGAAAATATGCTGAACCATCATATTTTCATGGTGAATCATCATTTTCTCAAACCCAAATGGCTGTTTTTCATGGCGATGCTCCATTTTTGACAAGGCCACAGTCCTAAGGTCCACGGTCACCATCCCCCGGCACTCGCCTCGTGCTGCGCTCCGATGGCCGACTGCAGGTCCTGGAAAGCCCAACCGATTTTTTTTCGAAAACACACTTGACATTACAAAATCGAAGTTCAAATCTCCTAAAATCCCATAAAATCCCATAAAATCCCATAAAATCCCGAGTCTTCCAACCTCATTCCCAACCCAACCCCGGCCAACCCTGCCCTTTCCAGTGGTCGAAAAACCCCGGCCCCGCAGCTCCGCACCTCGTGCAAGGTCTGCACCTTCTGATGCAGCGCCTTATCTGCTTCCCAGGCAGAAGCCCAGCTGGGCACCGAGATCAATTTGTTGAAGACCTGGGATGATGACCATCTAAGATATCCCAAGATATCCCATATCCGTGTTGGTGATAAAAAATAGTTGGTTCTCACCACTTAAGTAGATGCTTATATAGAAATGGATGAACTAGCTATATACATATATATATATATATATGGATTATATCAAGTTATGGTGATAACCATCTATATACTTTGTTCATCCATTTATAGATGGTGACAAAAAGAACCACTGTAAGCCAAACCAGCTGGGAACTATGAAACACTGTAAATAATGGGATTATCATGGGATTACTATGGGATAAACAAGCTACCAATCCACAGTAGTAAGTGCTTCATAACCCTGGTGATCGTTCAAGTCCTGTTTCTTCCGTGGCTTTTCCCATCTAAATGGATGAACTGACTATGGGACACCAACTGATCCTCCCCAAATTGGAGATGTGAGGATACTTGGAGATTAAATCCCACAGATCGTAAGTGGTGAGACTAACCATTTAAGTGTGGCTGAAAGGTAACCCCGATTCGTAGGTTATCCCATCTATAAATGGATTACAACCATGGCCATGGGATCCCAACTTATATAATATAATATAATATAATATAATATAATATAATATTATATTATATGATATAATATAATATAATACAATACAATATAATATAATATAATATAATATATATATATATATATCATCCTAAAATCTATCAGTTTTATGGATGGTATAAACCATCAAAATATGGATGGTTTATGACATTGTTTGTACTATATAACATATATATCATAGTGGTTTCAGTACTATATAACATTGTTGTATGTCGGGCAACCAATGGTTTTAACATTGGCCTCAATTTTAAGAAACACGGTCGAGTCAATGGAATAACTATCTGTTTGGGCAGCCAAAATTCATCGAAATACCTTTAAAAATTGGTTTCTTGAAAAATTCAAGCAGCTAAAATGTGGATGGCAAGGAATCATGCACCATGGGGGATACCTAATTTTATGGCCACAAACAAGAACGGGAAAAATGGGTTTCAAACATCTCAACGCCACAGGGATGGTGCCCAGAATGGTTTCAGGGCCTGATGCTGGAAAAGTCACGTGACTGGCACCTTGTTCGGCGCTGAAGGAAATTACCAAGTGTAATATTTCTTCTCTAGATTTCAATGACTTCTACTTTGATGCCTTCAATCCCCGAGACATTTTTCATTAGCAATGCCTCAACTCCCCAAATGGCCTCCCGCCTACTCACATCACCATCTCACTACACGAACCATGTTGAAAATACCTTTTTTTTGTTCCATGCTATTGTATGTACTGCGTGTTGAATAGCTATCCCTGTCAATCCTGACTTATAGTTCAATAATCACCAACAAACCAGTTATAGATTACTGACCCCCTATATTTTTCCAAGCCATCAACAGGGCCCCGGTTGCCGTCACCTGAATGATCAAGGACCGGTAGAAAGGTTTCTTCTCGGCGAAGGCGATCAAGAAGCTCCACATGATCGGCGCATGCTTCGCCTGCTGAGAGGTTTTCAGGTTACACCGTGGTTCAGGTGGAATGTGACATCGCATAGAAATATGTATATAAGTTATATAAGGGTATGTAGCATAATTAAATATATATAATTATATATGTGTGTGTGTTATGGTTTAGTACTTTAAATCGCCGAATTCAGTGGGTTTGGGGTTCTAAAAAAATTGAGCAGCCAAAGGCCAACCCCGACCCCTGTTTTTTTTGATCTTCATGGAGTTGTTTTGATAAAACGGTCCGAAGTTTGTGGAAAATCCCTACTTTTTACCAGGGTTTCTAAGGGTGTGTTTGATATCAGCGGGATGGGATATAATCTCATGACTCAAAAATTTGGTACCAACCAACTCACTTTCTTAAACCATCCATTTTGGGGGAAAATAAATTCAAACCATACCCAAAATCGGAGATGTTCTATCAGATCGCCCTGAAAGGCGTAGAACTGGGGCTGGTTCACCACCGTGAACTAAGCGTTCCTAACATCATTTTCCAGGGCCAAACATTGGGGAGACCTCACTCCATCATTCCTGACACTCCAAATGCAGAGAAAATAGGTAGATAAAGAATGATTGACGCGTAAGTTCCCAATCTTCCCTCCTTGTGGCCTTTTTGATGGGTTGGAAGAACCCGAGTTTTTAATGACATGGAATGGGATGAGGCCCGCCTGAGCATCAATCTCTTCGGTGGAGGCTTTCAACACCTCCGCTTGGGTCATTTTGCCAAGCAAAGTTGCGATTATAAGCGACAAAAACTGGAAAAAAAATAAGAATCATGGGTGATGGATGATAACTACCAGAAATTGTTCATGGGGTTACAACAATACTACCGGGTGCACCGTTGCACCTATGGTTTTCCAAATAAATAACCCTTTTTCGGCTGCTGCAATCCTGGGTCTCCCCTATTGAGAAAGTGGTCCAAATGGTCCACCTGGGTTTGCCTGAAAATGGTGTACCTTTATTGTACCTTTAAAATCCATTGGATTATCCATGGATTTTCCTGATTTCACTGGCCATTTGGAAAAAAATTCCCCATTTTCAGACGGACCCTAATTTTTTAAATGTGTGTGTTTGACCCGCCAATTTGACGGACGCAGCTGTTCCCGTTGCACAGACTTTCAGGATGATTTCGCCCACGAATTCCAAGCATCGCCTTCTTTTTGAAGTCTTGAAAGTCCCCATTGGCAGACATCACGCGATCTTTTGCAAGGCATTCCTCCACAAGTCACATAGACATTGCACAAAATAATGTTACAATTTTATGACCGAGCACAGTACGACAGTGCCCTTGCGCCACATTTTCCATAGGATTAGCAGAATTTGATGCCGAAAACGGTCCAAGTCCTCGTAAATTTCCCATTTCGGCCAACTTGCCATCAGCCACCCAAATGATATGCGTTTGTCCGGACACGTTGCACATCTACATTGCATGTGAACCATGTCGTTGGTAAATGCCATCGAGTTTAGAAACATTCAATGCAATACAGAAATGATTTTCAAAATGATTGTATGTTGTATGACTGCTGGATGTAATGTATTATTGTGGTCATTCTTATTCCACAATGACACATCGCACGAAAATGTCGCAGATGCACCACAAAACGGTTCATTGTTCTTTGAGTCATGTTTTCATGTTTATTTGTTCACTAGAGAACTGTTTGCAGGTTAACACTAAATTTTGCTATTGACATTCAATCTGTGGTGAGTCATTGAATCACAAGTTCGAGTGTGGGGGGGCGCATTGCTTCACTTCACAATCGGAAGTGGGTGGAAATCCGTTGGGACATTGGCTCGGGAGCTTGATGGGTTTGTCTGGCAAGGGAGTACCGAAAAATCCTCTGTTTTATCGGCACATGCTGCAATTAGAATTGCCATGTCCCGGGCCACCCCGCATTAATGGACAAACACGAAATTGTGTCCGCCAAATTGTAGATATGTGAGTGGAACAGCAACAAAAGCGTTCGCCATGGGCTGTCATTTTGATCATTTTTTCATTGCGTGGCGGAAGGTTAAAACTGCAGAAAAGGTGCAAAGGGCAAACGGTAAAAACAAATATATATATATATATATTCGGCTGCGAAGAAACCAGAATGATGCTGTATTCAAGTGACATCAGATTTCGTTTACTTTGTAACCACAATTAATTCCAAGCATTGATATGAACAGTGATTCCAAGAAGAACAACGCTTCAATTGCTCCGTGATTTTCAAATTTTCAGGCCCCGCGAACACAAACCCTAAATAAACAGAAACATTAAGTATATAACCAAATGCACCGCAACATGTGCCACAGTTTCCGACAACAATAGGTTTTCAAATGAAACCGGATCAAATGCAATTCGACCATCATCCACTAAAAAAGGCTGGAGAAATTCATGGATAGAACCAATTCCCAAGAGTTGCCTACTCCATTTTTGGCGAACCGAAACCACAACACCAACACCAACAACAACACCAACACCAACAACAACAACAACAACACCAACAACAACAACAACAACAACAACACCAACACCAACACCAACACCAACAACAACAACAACAACCACAACCACAACCACAACCACAACCACAACCACAACCACAACCACAACCATAACCACAACCATAACCACAACCACAACCACAACCACAACCACAACCACAACAACCACAACAACCACAACAACCACAACAACCACAACAACCACAACCACAACAACAACAACACCAACACCAACACCAACACCAACACCAACAACAACAACAACAAAAAACAAACAAACAAACAAACGACAACGACCACCACCACCACAACAACAACAACACCAGCAGCAGCAGCAGCAGCAGTCCTTGCCATTGAACGCATCGCACCCCCCACCCGCTCCATGAATAGCCTTTCCCCTTGCTGCCCTCTTGACCAAAGGAACAAACAAGCACAGCAACCACCACAACGATCAAAACGACCACAACACCACCACAACAACACCGACCAACCAACCAACCAACCAACCAAGCAACCAAGCAACCAAGGAACCAAGCAACCAAGCAACCAAGCTACCAAGCTACCAAGCTACCAACCTACCAACCTACCAACCTACCAACCTACCAACCTACCAACCTACCAACCTACCAACCTACCAACCTACCAACCAAGCAAGCAAGCAAACAACCAAACAACACAACACAACAACCAACAACCAGCAACCAACAACCAGTAACCAGCAACCAACAGTAAGAAACAAACAAATTCAATCAAAAACCTTAAAAAAATATCAAAAACAAACAAAAGAAGCAGCAGCAGCAACAACAACAACAACAACAGCAACAACAGCACCAACAGCACCAACAGCAACAACAACCACCACAGCCACAACCACAACAACAACAACAACAACAACAACGACAACGACAACGACAACGACAACGATGACGACAACGATGACGACGACAACGACCACGACCACTACCACAACCACAACCACAACAACCGCCACCAACGACCACCAACAACCGACAACCAACAACCAACAACCAACCAAAAATAATAATACCCAACAACCAACAACCAATAACCAACAGCCTACAGCCTATAACCACCACCACCACCACAACCACAATGTCACAACCACCACAACCACAACCACCACAACCACAACCACAACCACCACCACCACCACCACCACAACCACCACAAGGACCACAACCAAAACGACCACAATGACCACAACGACCACAACGACAACGACCACAACGACCACGACCACAACGACCACGACCACAACCACGACCATAACCACGACCACAACCACGACCACAACGACCAAGACTACAACGACCAAGACCACAACCACAACCACAGCCACAACCACAACGAACGACCACAACCACAACGACCACAACCACAACGATCACAATGACCACAACGACCACAACCGCCACAACCACAGCCACTTTACGAGCCACAACGACTACAACCAACCACAACGACCCACAACGACCACGAACGACCACGACAACCACAACCACCACAACGACCACAACGACCACCACCACAAACACGACCACAACCAGAACGACAATACCCAACCAGAATGACTACAACGACCAAGATCACAACCACAACGAGAACCACAACCACCATGACCACAACAACGACAACAATCTCAACGACCACAACCACTGCGACCACAAACACATGTTTTTCCGTCCGACGCGCCTTGCAGTATTAAATTGTCCGCTGTATTGCCCGCTGCAGTTCCGAATTAAAGAATTGAAACTCGTCCAACAGCAATGACAACACTGCACAGCCACTACAGGCCATCAATGCCACCACCAAGAGAAAAAAACCAACCACACAAACAAAAGCAAGCAAAAACAACCACACACCAACACAAAAACAAAAAAGGGAAACATGATCGACGAACTGTTGAGAAAGTCAATGCTGTTGTGTGAAGGGTGACGGCATTGCATCATCCGGTATTGCTATGGCAAAAAAGCAACAAGACAACACGAAAAGCAACACGCGATGGCCATACCTTTAAGCCTTCAGACTTTCAGCCCTTTCCTCACTGATTGCCCCTTTGAACGACCTGGCGGAAGCCAAGAGGCGTGGAACGGAAAAAATCCTCCGATTACCTTCTGAAGATCTCTTGCAGATTACTTTTGCAAGAGGTGCTCGGAACCAGCTCCGCGGGAGCTTTGGTTTGGGTCATTGTCGCATTCCTTGTTACAGTCCAAACTCATTAGCAGATATGGATGGGCAATAATTGTAACTGAGGACCGCCCTGTGGCTGGGTGCTAGACGATAACCGTACAAGTTCCGTGCATCCACAAAGAAGACTGGGAGGCCTGCAACGGGTCTTTTTTTGTGGCCGGCGCCATTGTCTTTCGACTGGTCACCACACTTGAGGCTTACCTGCGGACCAGCGGGGAATCGAACCACCACCAGTAGTCTGTCCGCGTCGTCAAGGGAGGCCTGCAACGGGTCTCATTATCCAGCAGCGTCACATACTACCCACTCAGAAGCAAGCTAGATTCGGGCCAGGCCGGATTTTGCCAACCTGGGAGACCCATGACTGGCATCATCCTCAGCTTTTTTCACTGATACCCGACCACCATAAGAGACAGCTCGAAACGGAGGAAACTCACCACATGGGAGGCTCATGATTGGCTTGCTTCCGGCGTCATTGTGCCTTGCACTCCTTCCTTGAGAGCCACACCTCCCCAAGTGAGTAGTGAATGTTCATCATTGCCGGGAAGGGGGATTGGGAAATTAGTCGGTTTTGTTGGTGTAGAACGATGTCAAACCACATCAGGCCATGGCATCCGTTGCTGTTTAGCAAGCGCGAACATGGAGCACTTGAACACAGGTGAACTCCGTGAGCTTACATGTCTGCATCAGAAACCGCAGAGGGAGATGACGTTTGCCCCCAGGGCGAAAACCATGTCTGTCAGTAGGTTGGTGCCTAAGAAAGTGTATTTTTTGCTGATGAACACAGCTACAATTTTTATCCCGCACCCGCTGTCAATTTGGAAATAGACCGAGAGGGGACAGCGAAAAGCCAAGACGGTCAACAAAAAGGAACATTGGCCCATGTAAAGCGTAAAGTTGCAACGGCCCTTTCAATGAAGGTGAAACCTGTTTGAGAATATAGACATTCATGTGCATTTGCTCCAATTTCAGCCGTCGGCTTGCCTCGAAAATTCTCCCTCATCCTCACATTTTTTGTTTTGTTGCAATTTCTATAGCCTCGAGGCTGCCTTGAAGCCTGCTTTGAAGCCTGCCTGTGGAAAGATGACATCACCAGGTGCCGCTGGGTTCTATTTGGTTTATGGTGAATTTCACCATGTGGTCATGGTGAGAATTTACAAGGTTTTAGCCTCTAGCAGGCGATTTGGAAGCTTTGGTGAAATTTGCTCAACACGGCTGAGCAAATGAGAAAATTTCATCACCAATGGTTTGGAGATGACAAGGTTTTGCCTATATCAGGCGTTTTTGGGAATGTGGATGAGATGTGCTCACCACAGCTGAGCGAACGAAAACATTTCGTCACCAATGGTTTGGTGACATCAATGGTTTGCCACGTTTTCATGGAGATTCAAGCTGGAAGAAGATTTGCAAAGGAGTTTGGACTTCATGGTTTGACTGGAAAGAAGTTTTGATGACTTGCGTCATCACTTGCAAGTTTCGAGAACTTTGTACTGAAGGTTTTGAAGCTTCAGTTGAGTTTGGGTGATGGTTTATCACCTTCTTTACGCTGCAAGGACAAGTGATACGGATTTGGAAATTTCAGCGCTGAGTCCTTGGTTTTCGTTTGCATGGAAACAAGTTTTAAACCAATGGTTTTTTTTGAAACAAATCGAAAACAAACAACCTGTACAAACAAGTTTTCGATGTGTTTACCGAGAGAGAGCAGT